AGTCACATCAGTAGAAGCTTGGCTATTTCCAGAAATGTTTTTTTATAGTTTTCCAGGTTATTCTTGTTTTATTATTGGAAGTTCTTATGAATTTGTTCAGATATAACTTTTTTGCTGTTGAGATAACTCTACTTAATATCTTGCAATACATTTTATAGTGTTCTTTTAATCTAGAATGTAATTATTATTAAATTAATATTTATAATAAAATATAAAGACAAGAACAAACATTTAATATATTGTGGGAACTGCCCACATTCAAGCAAGTGTGACAACGCAAGCGTCATTGCTTAGCAACGAGTAACAACGGTTGCTAGGCAAAAGCGAGCAAACAGCGGTTGCTAGGGAACTTATAAACACGGTGTCCGGCAACAGCAGTACCTACTACATAACCGTTTTCTATATGTCCGACTCTAGGTTACATAGGAAGATACATTGAGTGGAAGCGACAGTCACAGTTCTAGACTCTACAGTTCCACATTGTTATTATCCGTCTGTGTATACTGTGCAGCTGCAATAAATCCTATAGGACAGTTCAAGTAGTGGTTGTCTCTTCATACGACATCCCACAACATAAATTGTAAAGTACTTAACCTGAAACTATATGAATACAAAATCTAACATTGTTTGTTTGGTCATTGTAGTATTTTAAACAGAAGTATCCATTCTTTGCCCAGGATATAATTGCAATTGCTCTCAATTTCGCTGTATTTAGTAGCTAAAACGTTAATGAAGGAATAACACTCAAATTAATAAATTAAAATTTACGCATGCAATTAAAAGAAAAGATAGGGAAATGAGGATTCAAATGATATCTGAAATCTCTATTCCAATACTTGGCATGTCACTTTAACAACCATGGTTACTGTACATACTGGCAAGTTTATGGAGTAAATTTCATAATGTCTTTGGGTGTTCTCTGCTAGATTCACAGTAGGAAAGAGCAGATGGACAGGAAAGTTACATTTATGTACATGTTAGACATCAAGATGGCGGCTAGTCGTGTACTGCTTGATTCGTTCTCGGAGCAATTTAGTCAAACAAGATAATCATCGTGTTTACAAATGTGTTAATTGTGTCACGCTGGAAAGCCAGTTAAAGGAAGCTTTGTTAGAGCTGAGTTCGTCTCAATGCATAATTAAGCTCTTATATAAAGAGTTAAATGAGGTCACTGCTCAACGCATGTCTGTACGTAGTACTATGGAGGTGAGCGGAGTCTGTGATGAGCCGGCCTTGTCTACTACATGGTCTGATGTGTCGTCCAAGCACTCTTGTGGTAAGATTAAAGCAGTTAATTCCGAGTTATTGCAAGCTCGGCGACCGGTTCCTGTCTCCAATAGATACTCAGCTTTATCTTACCTCCCTGAATCTACGATAAGGGAAGAGGAAACAGTCCCATTGAAAAGGGAGAAGGTAAACCAATGCCGTATTAACTATTATAAGAAGAGTAGTGAACAAAGAGTGAAGAATTCATTAATGAAGCATCGTCCCGAACAACGACCACCTGCTCTAAGTGTTCCTGCATCTAGAAATGAGCAAGGGAGTGACTGCAAAATTGATTCTTTACCTAGCCACATACTGACACTTAACAACGGTGAAGTTTGTTTCGACAAGAAGGATGGCTTTATGCAGTGTGAGAAAGATAAACTGAGTTACATACAATCTGTAGTGCGTGAATCTTCACAGAAGCTTCTAGTTAATAAAAAGGAATTCTCTAATTCTCGCAAACATAAAGTATTATTGGTAGGCGACAGCCACTTACGTGGTTATGCAGTTCATATGAAAGCTTTTTTGAATGATCAGTTTCAAGTGTCTGGATATGTTAAGCCAGGAGCTTCATCAAAAATGATGATGGAGTCGGCAAAAAGTGACATTGAAAAACTCACAGTGGACGATTTTTTAATTTTGTGTTGTGGGTCGAATGATGTAAGATACCTTAAAAGGGTATTTTATAATGTGACTAGCTTTGTAAAAAGGGTTAATCAAACTAATGTAATCTTAATGTGCATCCCTTATAGGTATGATCTTAGGAATTCCCATATTAATAGTGAAATTCAAGCCTTTAATAGGAAGTTATGCAAGCTAGCTAAGATCTTTTCTCATGTCAATGTAATAGAGATGAATAACAATAGACAACTATTTACTGCACATGGATTGCATCTGAACAGCTTGGGTAAAGAGTTGCTTTCTAGTTATCTACTTCTTCATATTTTTTCAGCGTTGAAAGAAGATATGGGCTCAGTAATAACTCCTGCTTGGTGAGATAGCAATTTTCAGGTTACCTCTTCTCCTGTTGCTAGTTATTCCACTCCCCTAACTATTTCAGATAATCAGAATCTAACAACTAATGAAACTATTTTGGACAGGTTAGCCAGTACTCCCCGTTTAGATAAAGAAAGTTTAACTAGTTGTACTGTAAATGGCAACATAAAAGTAGGTAATCCTAGCATATTGAAGACTAGAACTTCTAGTAGAATCAAAAAAGCCCCTGTGACAAAAAAAGATTTTTTATGGTAAAGTCAACCTCTAGATCACAGACAGGTAAATCCATTCCTTCGTTGAATAAAGATGTAAGTGCTAATCAATCAGCTGTAAGGAACACTATCAAATTGAATAATGCTAAACCACCTTATGATACTGTTCATAAGAACCATATTCATCCTTCTAACAAATTATTACAGAATCATTATAATACAAATAAACTAACAATTCTTCATCAAAATATACGAGGAATTATTAATAAAGTTGATGAATTCTTAAATTCATTATCTCTTAATGCACCTCAAATTATCTGCTTATCGGAACACCACTTGAAAACTGATGAAATAAGTGAAGTAAATTTTGATCACTATACTGTCGGTACTTCCTATTGTAGACAAACATACAGTCATGGAGGTGTGTGTGTTCTTGTTCATAAGAATATCCAATTTAATACTATTAATCTAGACCAATTTAACAAAGAGAAGGACCTTGAAATTTGTGCTTTGAAGTTAAACGTAGCTTCCAACAACTTCACTATTATTTGTATTTATAGATCTCCAACCGGCAACTTCTCATACTTTTTAAATCAGTTGGAATTAATTCTGAACAAAGTACACAAAACATCAAGTGAATTAATTTTATGTGGTGATCTCAATATAAACTATCTTAATGACAGTTCTAGGAAAGATCTCTTAGATTCTCTTTTAGCCTCTTTTAATCTCTTCAGTACGATTAACTTTCCTACCAGAATCTCTAATAACTCTTGCACCTTAATAGATAATATCTATATCAATACTCATCGGCATGAATATTCCGTGCACCCTGTTATTAATGGTCTATCAGACCATGATGCTCAGGCTATTACCTTAAATAATATCTCCATTCCTGTCCCTAAACATGTAT